GTCATTTTCTGTAAATTACGTGTACATAATAATAGCCTAACTGAATCTATCACATTCTTAATTCTCACAATCTCTCTCTCTCTCTCTCTCTCTCTCTCTCTCTCTCTCTCTCTCTCTCTCTCTCTCTCTCTCTCTCCCTCTCTCTCATTAGGTAAAAGAGAAGCTTGGCATTACAGCTTTCAAAGAGATGAAGGATGGTCTTTACAACGGACTAAAAGTGATGGGAACAAAAATAAAAGGTTTACAAGAGACAGAAACGTAAGGATCGCATCACTATGACATCATTGTTACTAAATATAGAACAGGTTTCGAAAGATTGACACAACCCTGGTCGGTTGGAAGACTAAGCTTGAGGACTCTGAGCGTTATCAGAAAACCAAACAGTCTCTTAACGAAGGTGGAAAGAAAGCATCTTCTGCCATTTCATCAGCTGCCACTTCTATAAAGTAAAGAAACAAGTAGAAAGTACTTTCTTTATTGTAGATCTCTTCTCTCAGGGAGAATGAGAGGGTGAAGACTATTGGGACAAAGACTAGTGGTGCTTTTCAAAGTGCTGGCACTGCCATTAAGAGCACAGGTACTGCCATCAGGGAGAATGAAAGGGTCCAAAACTTTGGAGAGAGGATAAGATCAACTTCTGTCAGAATTAAGGTAATTAATTATGATATTTGGTAGTTTGTTGAGGTTTGTAATTGACGGATTCTATCAGCCACGTGTCATTGAATAGGCTCAGAATAAATCAAAGATGGCAGATTTTATATGGTGGACGCTCAATAGCTGCAGCCTCCAATCTGCCAATATTAATTCCCTGTCAAAAACTATTACTCTCTCTCTCTCTCTCTCTCTTTTAGGATCGTGTTATGGGTACTAGTGTTGACGCTGGTGATGAACCCGTTGCTAAGGAGACTGTGGTCCCAGACGAGCCTACCAAAAAGGATTGATGGTTCTCTTTTTGATTTTTAAAAACTCGTCATTGTTTGTGTGCTGTTAATGAATAAATTTATTGATATCTTCTTGCCATTGAAACAAAAATTGCAACTATCTTTAACAATAAAATTAATGAATGGGTGGAGTTTCGCACCTACGTTTAATTATTTAACCCTTTTATCCAGAGAATGGTGGACAAAGGATAGATTGTGAAGGAAAATGATCAAAATGAGCGTAGGTCTACACTCGAGAAGTGCAGAAGCTAAAAGAGACTACATATGTGGTGGTGCCGCTTCCCTCCTTAACGTCCTAATAACCTTCCCAATGAACAAGATCATGTTCCGACAGCAGATAGACGGTCTGAGACTCAAGGTGGCCATAAAGCAGTTACTAAAGGAAGGAATGGGCACCTGGTATCGTGGAATAGTCCCTCCGCTCCTTCAGCGTACATTAACAGTATCACTAATGTTTGGTACATATACACACGCCACTCACTTAATCAATGCTCATTCACCGTACCGTCACTCACCCTTCTTCACTCACTGTCTTGCTGCCTCTACTGCAGGCTGTATCGAAGCAATGCTGATGCCTTTTGAGCGAGCGCAGTGTCTCCTGCAGGCAAAAGAGTTCAATCACAAGCTCAAGAACACGAAACACGTCTTTGAGGTCCTACGCCATCATAGCCTCAAGGAGAGCTATCGAGGGCTAAGTGCCGTGCTACTCCGGAACACTATCAGTAATATTTTATTTTTGGGTCTCAGAGAGCCACTTAAAAACTGTCTTCCGGCCCCCAAAACCCAGTTTCAGGACTCTGTCAATTCCTTCATCAGTGGAGCTGGCCTCGGCTGTATTCTGAGTACTGTGTTCTTTCCTGTGAATGTCATTAAGAACCGAATGATGACAAAGATTGGCGGAGACTTTCTCAGTATATATTCAACGTATAGGATCACCATGAACGAGAGGGTATATTTTCGTAGACTTTTTAGAGGCGTTCATATCAATTACACGCGCTCTTTTATTTCCTGGGGCATAATAAACACGTCTTTTGACTTTTTAGTTAAATTGTATGATCGTTTTATGTTTAATGATTAGCTTTTTTTATTTATATTATTAAGTTTTATTGGATTTTATTTATTTTTTTGCTGGCTGTGACTCAAGGTGATAACTAGTTGCGTGGGCGGTAGCTTGTTTGATGACAAGGAGCAAATTAAAAATGAATACACACAGCTAAAATAAAAACAACAAACAATATAGTCTGGACACACATGTCCAAGCTACAATACGGTCACTAAAATTCTTAAATACACACCCATTCTACAGTTCATATTGCTAGCATGTTGTCAACCGACTGAGACTTCCTTACAGGGAGAAGAGGCTCAGATATCTTCTTAAGAATTGCAGGACTTACACTAGCATCATGAATCAATGGCTGGGACATCTTCCTGTTTGATCTAACCGGACGATAT